GAAGCAATGGAAATAGATACAGTCACTATCGTTAACAGCTTGTGGAGGCCTCTGTGCCGGGTAATGTGTTAAGCACTTCTATACTGATTCCATCTAATCCTACCCAAGAGGAGTGTTTACTACAGGCACTTTACAGGGAAAGACTAGTATTTGGAGAGATAAATGGGCACCTGACTAAATGCATTAGATTTCCTTGAGCCCTGTTCACAAATTGCCCTGGGGGAATGCGATTATCAACCCTGTGCTACAGGTGTGAAAATACAGTACCAGGGAACTAAACCAATTGCAGCCCAGAGCAAAGGAGTAACCTGTCCAGGGCAAAAACAGCAAAGACCTAAAAGAGCCAAAATCTAAGTCTGTTCTGTCTCTGCAGTCCATGCCTGAAAGGCCACACCCCAAACTCTGAAACCTTCCTGTTGTGGCCCACTTGCTCCATGTGTGTCCTGAACTCTCACACACTCAGACTCACTGTTTATCATTTTCAGAGGGAGAAAGAACTCAACAACAACAAACAGAACTGGAGTGAAACAAAATACCAATCAGAATGGCAAAAATGCAGTAGTAACATGAGACCCAGATGATCGGCAAAAGCAAAATTTAATAATGATCCTACAAATACATCAATTAATACAAGAAGAGCAGCAATCAGAACCCACAGAGAGCGCAGGGTGATGTTGATGAGTTTCTGATTAGAACGTCCTATGGTTTGAGTGTTCAGGATTTCTGGGTCTTTTCACCAGGCATGTGCACAGTAGGAGTTTTGTAAGGTTGCTAAGCAATGCCTGGCAACCAGACTGCAGAGTGGAACACTCATTAGGAGTCCTTCGTAGTAAGGCAGTAATTTTAGATCATGAAAACCAAATTCTAGAGACCCTTAATAACTCATGTACTAGGTTACTAGTAAGTATCCCATAGTCACACTTAAAAATGCAAACCTATGATGGTCCATCATTCACATCTATGATTAGACAACATGGATTTTTGAGAATCAGCATTCATTTATTCAACATGCATTTGCTTGAAAACTTACTGTGTGCCAGATACTGTTCTAGATCCAGTCAACTGCACACCACGCTGGAAAACCACTTAAGAGTTTTTAGAATTCAAACTTCAGGAAAACAAAGCTCAGAGAGGTAAGGCAATCTGTTCAGAGTTGCACAGCACAATGGAGGCCAATATGCACAGCTATTCAAGTTCAGCCCTATAGAATCCCAGGAGTGAACATTACTTCTCTGAAAGGCCACCTCACCATACGTGGCCTTGAGAGGCCCCATGATTTCACACCAGTTGCTTCTGTCCTCTGAGTTGGCCCAGAGAGCTGGGAGCACCAGGACACGGGACTTGGCTGTTGAACATCTTGGAAAGTCTCCCACTTGACCTCTGGCCCCCTGTGGTCAAGTGAGGGAAAGCCTATGACACGGTGTCGGTTTTTATTGGACCCAACCACCGGCGAAGCTTGCCGTCATCTGGAGTGATGGAGAAAATTAAGTTACCACATTCTCACGTTTCAGCCTTTCGCCCGTTTTCCTTCACAAACAGGAAATGTTTATTTAAATACAGCAGTCCCAGCATGTTCTGGAGCCAAGTGAAAAACCAAAGATGTCCACTCTTGCCCCACTCTGCTGCTCAGGCCACCACCTTGAGGGGGAAATGTGGGCCTCTGTGTGCCTTTAGGGAGGACAGACAGGGAGCAGGGGCCCCGAGTGAGAGCTCACTTTCCTTCGTCTCCTCTTTTTTCCAGGCTGAAATTGTGGTTGGAGAAGAATTACATCTGTGGGCTCCTTTTGTACTCAGAAGGGTAAATGCAACATCTGTTTACTCTGTGCTCCATGGTAAATGTTTTGTTTCAGGCACCACCATTCACTTCCTCTCCTCTTGTCCTGGATCTTTGCTGTACGGATAATAAATTACACTGAATTCTCCTTGGCGTTTATTTAGCTTTCTTGTGGGTATCACCTCCTCATGGAAGGGAATGAAATTGTCAGTAGTTTATAAATGACAGGGAGTTTCTCTTTCTGTGTGATGTGCTGACATTGTAAGGAAGAAGCTGGAACACAGACCCCAAACTCTGATACCAGTTTAATTATGAAGTCTAATAGGCCCTATTCCAGGCCTGAAGCAAAGTCAAATGGTGACCACATTGTCCTAAAAAGGTTTTCTCTAATAACACACCCTGAAAGGATGAGGTCTCAGCAGTCAAAAACAACCAGAGCAACAACAACAACACACACACACTCTATTTGGGAGGTGGAGAGGCAGGACTGAAGGAGGGAGAAAATGTTTCTTTGTTATAAAACACAATGTAAACATTGAAATCAGAAAGCTGGATGTTAGAAAGGTCTCAAGCATCTAATGGTGGTGCTCACAAAACTTATGCCCTATTTAAAAAAAAAAAAACAACGAATTCTTGGATGTTTTAAAGGAAGTTTCCTTACATGCTTTGCTTACATTCTTCAAGTTGAATTGCTAGTTTTCTTCTGCGTATGCAATGATTTTATATACAGTCACGGAAATGCAGCAGAAGCTCAAATCATGTTTGTTGAATGAATGAAGGGGGGAATGAATAAGAAATTCCCTCCAAAAGAAATCTTTAGCATAGCTTAGAAATGCCAAATAGCCCCCCTAAGAGTTCGAAAACTTGAGATGTTAACATCTGAGCTGGCTGAGTGAAGGTGTGGGCTGTGAAGGACTGTTGGTGAGCAGACACTCATCCCTGCAGTAATTCTGACCCAGCTTGCTCCTAAAGACTGCACCTCTCCCCTGGAGGAAGAAGACTGCAATGAGAAGCCAGCCTCAGCAGTCCCAACATGCCCCCCGCACCCCAGATGAAGTGGCACCAAGGGCCGGAAGAACCAAGGAAGACAAGACTCTTATTCCAAAGCACTTGCTACTCAGCTAATGTGGCCAGTGACCATGACTGCAGCAGAGGGCAGTCTGGGAACTCTCTGGACTCCAGTTTCTCCAGTTGTAGAACAGATGGGTAGCGCCAAGCTGCCTGGGTCTCCTGGGGGAGGTGGCTGGTAGCTGCAGTGCTCTGCCTGCAGCTTTTAAAGACTTCCTCCAAGCCAGGAGGAGTAGGGCCCATACTCCTTGTTCTCCAAACATGCAAAACAATTTTGGAGAAGGGGGAGAAGTAGTCTGAAGACCCCTAACAGAAGAGCTGATGTCAAACAAACTGAATTATGTTTCAGGGTTTATCTGAAGCAGCAGCAGCCACAACCTACTCTAAGACCCAAGCCCAGCCAGAGTTCTTCCAGGACCATTTGTTTCTAGATCTTGACCTAAACTAACCATTGTTCCAAGGATGTCCAGCAGATAGTAGTGTTGTGGACTTTGGAACCAAGCATCCTTGGGTTCAAACACTTGACCTTGAGCAAATGACAAGGTGGCTTAATTATAAAGTGAATAATAAGCATTATCTAGGTAACTAATAGGACTGTTACAGAGATTCAGTGAGATAACACATACAAACAAAGGTACTGAAAGCATTCATTAAACATTAGCTACAGTTATTATTTCACTAACTCATGTAGTTGACCCTGAAGAGAAGGGGGAAAGTTATTTAGTTTACAGAGATTATAGGCATCCAAAACAAGTTTTTCATTGACATGGTGGAAAATAAGATCTGGATTAAGTTATGGAATTGTCCCTTTTATTGCCATTGATTTGTCACATGACCTTGTGCAAGTCATTTTCCATTTCCGAGTCCCATCATTTACCTGTGTATTTAATGAAGGTTCAACTCTAATGCTAAAATTGCATGATTCAATCACACAGAATAATAACTACACTTGGGAGGAAAAAAATGATTTTAGCCAAAGCAAAATGCCAGGAAAAAGAAAGGCAAGACTATTGAGCCCTAGGGACACAAAGAATAAGATGTCAGCTGGCAGGTGACTAATATGAATGATGCTCTAGGATGGTTCATCTTAATCTTAGGGCTACTCTCTTCCAGCCTACAGCCTAGAAGACAGAATCCAAGACCCATGCACCTAGCCCTCTGACCTGGGGTGGGAAGGGTTTGGGGAGCTGTGGGTGGGAAAGCCTAGCACACTAGAGCAAACCCTTACCCACTTCTGGGCTGTGTTCCCAGGCAGGGTCCTCCCCCTTCACCATTCCCCACCTCCTTCCCCCGCTCCCCAACTGTGGGCTAGGAAGAGCCCACCCCAGAGGCCAAGTTTTGAATTTGGTCAGAGGATCAAAATGATAAATGTTTCCAAAACGTTGACATATGAAAAGTAAATATTTGGTTGCACAATTGGGGTTAAAACGAGTGTCAATCCACCCCACTCTCCAAGCCTTTCTCCTCTCTCTGCCAAGCCCAGGATTCGAGGCTGAGTGCGGTTTGTAAGATTATAGCGCTTGGTCTCATTTAAAGGTCTGTCAGCATTTCCATTCTCCAGCCCGTTTGGGGAGGCATTTATAACAGAGCCATAAAAAATTCACCCGGGCTGCAACTTGGCATCTCCGAGGCTGCGCTCCAGGCAGGGCGGGTTTTGCAAGCACCCACTCTGAATTCATTCGTTCCTCAGAAGTTAGACCTTCATACACACTCAACTTTGCTCGGAAGGGCAGCCAGAGAGCAGACGGCCCATTCTGATCTGCAAACCAGTCACAGACTTTGGCCCTCTCACTTCTCTCCCAGTCCGGACCCACCCCCCCACCTTGGTTTTCTCCCTCTTTAATGTGCACGGACCCCTTCCCTTCACCCTAAGACCCATCTGGTTGCTATGTTCTCCCTTTGCTTCCCGACAGCGTTTTGGGGGGAAGCTGTCAGAGGGCCCTGCATTAGAAGCCCTCACCTCTTTTTGACCATCACAGGGCGGTTGGAGACTTCTCTTTCTGACCTGCCCAAAGCCGCAGACCCCCCACCCCCCAATGAGAGGGTGAGAGCAGAGGGCTTTCCAGCTTCACAGGCCAAGAGGAAAGGAAGGATTTGGTGCCTGGGGCCCCCCTCTGTGGAACCCAGGTGGGTGGCCCGGTAGGGCTGGGATACTCACAGGCGCTCGGCGTTGCGGGGGATGCCCCTGGGAACCGCCCGGAGGCCCAGTCCATGGCAGTCCACGCTGGCGGCGGAGCAGGTACACTTGGTGGGGCAGGCGGCGGCAGGGGGCCCACTCAGGGCGCTCGCCAGCGCCAAGGCCAGCGCCAGGCGGGCGCGCACAGCGGCGCCGGCCCCTGTCCGCCCGGGGGCCATGGTGTGCAGGGGCCCGTTCCCGGAGGAGGTTGCCTCGGCGGGGCAAGACGCTTGGAGCCCGAGAAGGCGCGGGAGGAGCACAGGCGGCCTGGGGAGCGGGCGGCGGAGTTGGCGCGTAGGAGGAGCGAGCTCGGCGCTCAGGCGCACGGGGCGCGGGCGGAGCGGGGCGCGCCGGGCGGCGGCGGCAGCAGCAGCAGCTCCATCCGTGGGGCCGGCGCTGCCCCGCTGCGCATCGCTCGGAGTGCCCAGGTGCCGAGCGCCCCCTGGCCCCTCTGGCCTACGACCCGGGGCGTGGGCCGGGTTGGGGACCTGAGGCTAGCGCAGTGGGGCACGGGCTCCTGAGGAGGTCTGGCTTGGGGCAGGGCTCTGGAGCGCAGCGGTGGCGGCTGGGGCACGGGACAGCCGGGTGAACTGGCCGGCAATCGCTCTCTCCATTCACTGAGCAGGGCAGACACCGGCGACGCGGGGCCCACCCCTCCCGCCCCCCCAAAAACGCCAGCTCCGCCTCCCATTGGCTGCGCCGAGCGTCACGTCGACTAAGTTGGGAACTTTGCTGGAGCGACTGAGAGTCTGTGGGGAGGAGGCAGAGAAGGAAAGAAGGAACAGGGGAAGAAGAGGGGCTCAGTCAGCAGGGCCCCAGAATGGAAATTCATTCACTTAATTAGGGAACATGGACTGACTGGGCTGGCAGCACTTTTTCTTTATTCTAGTACTGAGCTAGACACTAGCTTTCCTTGGGTCTCAACAGCATCCCGCAAAGGTCATCTGATTACCCCCATCCTGAAGATTAATAGGCCAAGCTCAGAGAAGTGCAAAGGACTGTAAAGGACTGAGTGTACAACACTAACACACTCTACAGTCACATATGTGACAGGCAATGCTTGTAGGTGATGTCCTGATCTCTGCTCAGAGTCCTGCTTTGCTCAGGCCCAATGGCAGGCAGGCTGCCGAAAGTGTAACAGCAGAGACTTGGATCCCTGGATTGATGTTCATAGTCCTTGAGCCCCCTGTTTCTTGACTGGTGACTCTGGATCTGTCATGTCATCTACGGACCCTTGGTTTCCCAAACTGAGGAATACACAGCCTTGTTTTGGCTCATCTCTTTGAATTGTTTGGAGCATCAAAGAAGAGAAAGTGTTTTTGCAAAAACAGTCATTCGCATGCAAGGCATCTCCACTGCCTGGAGCGCCTTCCTTCTTCCAGTACCCACTCTAAATTGGCCAGGTCTGAGCTTTTCCAGATGCCGGTGGGGAGGGGCGGGAGGGGCGGTGCTTGTGTTAGAGGCTCCATAAATACTTGTAGGAATGATATTGTTTGTTTGTTTGGAGGGAGAGGGCAGGAACTGGAAGTATTGCCCAGACTTCCTTGAGGTCTACTCACAGTGGAAAATTCTGAGTAAGTCCTGCACACACACACACACACACACACTCATTCACATATATGCATTTACACACACACATTCACAGTTACCCACAGTCGCCACTTATTCATGCTTGCACACTCCCTACACATACAGACACATGCACATGTGCTCTCAGAGTCTCTCTCTCTCTCTCACACACACACACCACAGTGATGATGGTCCAGAGAGCTCTTTCTTGTCTTTTCTTTCATATAAATGTTACCTGATTCAGGGCCCTCCCTGGTGGCACAATAGTTTAAAGCACAGCACTATATGGCTGGCTGCAGTCACATTACAAGTTTGATCCCTGGCCAGGGAGGTGACCCACATGGCATGGCAGACCTCTCCTGACCTGCCTGCTGCTCCCCTCAGCAGTGTATTTTGTTGATCTGCCTGTTCTGCTACCCACTCTGTCTCTGGTGAATCCTCTCACTGCCCCTGCACCTCTGGCCTGTACCACAGCTCTGTATGCATAAATACATAAACCTTTAAAAATAAATAAATAGGGCCCTCCCTGGTAGTGCAGTGGGTTAAAGCACAGCACTAAGAAGCTAAAGCCACTTGAGCATGCGTTTGGTCCCTGCCCCGGAGGAGATCCACATGGCGAGGCAGACCTCTCCTGACCCGCCTGCTGCTCCCCTCAGCAATGTACTTCGTAGCTCTGCTTGTTCTGCCACCCTCTCTGTCTCTGGTGAATCCTCTCACCCTCCACATCTCTGGCCTATACCCCAGATCCATATGAATAAATAAATAAATCATTAATAAATAAATAAATAAGTGAATAAATGTTATCCAATTCCTTTTACCTCATTTTCCTTCAAGGAAACTAAACTATTTGACCACATCCTGGGAATGTGTGGCAGAGAAACAGGTTTTATTTTATGGTACTAAGCATATTTTCTTAGCTTCAGGCACCCAGTTTTATGTAAGTGTACACTCACTTCATCCCTCAGTCATTCATAAACACGAGGTGATGTTTTACTGCTACTTTTTGGAAACAGCTTTCCATACAGATGCTGATGTCATCGCCCTCTGGTGGCCATAGAGGGTCTATGCTCTGGTCCTTGGGGTGACTTCAGCATGTAGGAACTCTAAACATCCTTTCCTCTGAAGCTTTCCTCTAAACCTTGAACCAATTTAGTACCAGGACTGAAGCAGATGAGAAAAGAGATCTGGGCAAAGACCCAAGGGCACACAAGTCTCAGGCTGTCTGGAGTAGAAAGAGTGGGCTTTTCTTTGTGTTCCCCCATGTACACTAAAATGCGTTTTGCAGTCCTTCCAGCTGGGCCTGGGTCTGTACTTAAGCACAGGGCGGTAGGAGGAGGTTGTGCTTTCTGTTTAAGCTGCTGGGAGTTCACTATCTTGACTGGGTCTTTAAGAGATTTTATAGGTATTCAAACATGCCCTTCTCTGGAGAAGCACCTTAGAATGGGAGTCAGTCATGTGAAGGATGGGATAAGTGGAAGAATCAAAAGAGGCGCAGGACATGGCTACACAGCATCAGGGAATGTTTAGGCTGAACAACCTTAGAAGTTCTCTAACCCAGCATTTCTGCAAGTGCATTATGATGGCTACTAGCTCCACATGTTTCTTTGCAGAGAGGAATAAGCTTCTTTGGGCAAAAATAGAGTGAGAAATACTGCTCACTTTCACCTCTTTTGCAGATTTGCATCAAATGAGTATATTTAAAGACCCTGAGAAGATCTGCAATAAGAAAATAAGTTTAAAGTTTGTTGAATAAACCCAGTTTCCCAAAATATATGACCCTTTTTCATATAAATTGTTTTGAGATTATTGTTTGGAGAACCATCCATATAATTCAAACCTTTATTTAATAATATAGAAACTGAGCCTCGGAGAAGGAACAACACTGGTATATATCATACAGTTATCCAACTAATCAGTGGAGGATCCAGAGTCAGGATCCAGGGTTTTCAGTTCCTGCAGGGAGGGACCCATTGACTTCCCCCTCCACTAATTTTTGAACATTTGTAAAATGCAACAGCTGTAGAAGAATTACCTTCATCAGAGAAGGGTGGGTTAGTCCTTAGGCGCTCAGGCTATTGGGTAGAACTTTTATGTTCTAGTGCCTCTGGTGTGAGATAGTTTCTACCCTCTGGTGTGATTTTCAGTTTCCACAAAAGTCTTCTGGGCCAATTCTTTTTCCTTTACTTTCCCATAGCTTCTCAAAAGTCAACTCCCCATCTATTCCTCCAAGAAAACTCACTCACATTCTGTTTTCTGTCTCTCAGTTTAAAGTACCAATATCCACCATGGTGGGACACCATAATCAGTTGATGTTCTCATTAACTGAACCAAAAAAAAAAAAAGTATGCATAAATAAGGTTTTGGGGTAGTGTGTGGTATTTAAGGAAAAAGTTAAAGTGGTTGCAAGAAAAACAAGAATAAAAGCAGATTCTAGGTGGTCAAGTCCAAGATTCCAGATTTCCAGGAGGGAAGGATGATTACCTTGGTTTAAGTCACATGATTGCCCCTTTGGCCAGAGAAGACTAGAAACTCTGGCTGACAATTTCATGGAAATTTATACTCAATTGGGCAGGTGGAAGTGATGTTCTCAAAAGAAAACTAGGGAACTGTTAGCAGAAAAAGTAGAAAGATGATGAGACACAAAATAGCATCAAAACATCTTCCCACTGTCTCAAGCCATAATCTCCTCCAGGATAACCTCTTGAACATGTTCCCTCTTCAACTGTGAGCCTCCTACCATTTGTCAAATGCTGGTTTCACAAATACCATTGCTCCCACTGGCTCCCACACTAATTCTTCAACTTTGTTTATTTGTTTGCATTCTCAATCCATTTTTTGCCATGATGTTCAAAGGAGCTTACTACAATGCAAAGCTGACAATGCAATCCTGAACTTTGATGTAGATTTCTGCCTGTACCATCTAATTTCCCACCATTCTCCTGCACCTGCTCAGAATTCTCTGAAAACATCCTCCCCCTACTCTTTTCTCTTATTAGTTCAGAGTCCATTTATCTATCAATTAGTGCAGGAAATCTTGCTGATATAGGCTATTAGATTCTCAAGGACAGTGACCCTATATAATCCATTTATTCCAACATTTCACTGTAAAAATTTCCAAGTCTACAAACTTGTATAATCCATTTTACATGCTTGATGCCTGGAGATACAAATAAATCTTTGATGACTGATGAATTAGTAAATGAATGAATCCATACGTGATCTTACCAATCAGCAAGGTTACTTGTCATTCTCTTTCAGTTTTACTTATTTTGATCAATGTTTCTTAGTGTTTTAAAATTATTGTGTAGAAAAATTGGGGTTTAGGTCAGAATTTCAGGGATTGAGAGGATTCATCAGGAACAGAACAGGCAGATCTACCAATTACACTGCTAAGGAGAGCAGGGGCATGATAAGACAGGTTTGCTGCACCATATGTGGGCTAGCTCCCTGACCAGGGAGCTATCAGGGATTATACTCAGGCCACATTGGTGAGAGCACTGAGACTTAATCCGTAGGCCACCATGGAAGTCCAGTGTTTCTTAAATTTTGGAGGGAGGAAGAGATTATATTCTTCCAGAATTTCTGGGAGGTTTACCAGCAAACTTTATAATTCTCCCCCACTCTAATATGTTTACTTCT